AAAAAAAAATTAGCCAGGCATGTGCTTACCCAGCTACTCAGGCAGCTGAGCCAGGAAGATCATTTGAATCCAGAAGCTGGAGGTTACAGAGCTATGAGGATACTACTGCATACTAGCAACATAGTACAACCCTCTCTCAAAAACACAAGTTTAAAGAGTTTTTTTTAGTGCCCTGTGAAATTCTTACATTGCCTTCTACTACTGATTATTATTATAACTTTTCTTTTTTTATGTGATATGATCATTTTTCCTAGCTGCCTGAAGTAATCTGTTTTGAAATCCAGTAACCTTTTAGAGTTAGTTTCCTATATCATAGTGTATCCATTCAATATGTGGTTTCAGATAGTCTTTCATTTCAGGAAAGTTTACTTAAATATTTATTTAATTCTGATATTTATCTTAACTTTGTAGTTGTATACCTATATTAGGTTCCTTCATTCTGTCCTCTTTAACTATCAGTTCTTAAAATGTGTATATAGATTTATAATTGCTGTATCTTATGTATTGGCCCTGTTATTTTTATTAAATGTCTCTTTAAAAAATATATATATATTTGGATATAGAGTCTCACTATGTTGCCCTTGGTATGTGGCGTCACAGCTCACAGCAACCTCAAACTCTTGGGCTTAAGCGATTCTCTTGCCTCAGCCTCCATTGTAGCTGGGTCTACAGGTGCCCACCACGGTGCCCAGCTATTTTTTGGTTGCAGTTGTCATTGTTTAGCTGACCTAGGCCAGGCACAAACCCACCAGCCCCAGTAGCTGGCACCGTAACCACTGTGCTATGGGTGCCAACCCTCAAATGTCCTTCTTTATCTCTAGTGATACTGCTTATCTAAAGGTCTCCATTAACTGGTAATAGTATAAACACTGCTCTCATGGCCACTATTTGTATAAATATACAAGGTGGCCATAAAGATAAAGTTCATGTGCAGTTTAAATAGTTATAACTTCATGTAATGAACTTTATGGCCACCCCGTATTTCTGTTTTTTTTTTTTTTCAATAGTCTCACTTTGTCACCCTTAGTAGAGTGCCCTGGCATCATAGCTCACAGCAACTTCAAACTCTTGGGCTCAAGTGATTCTCTTGTTTTCTGAGTAGCTGGGACTACAGGTGCCCATCACAATGCCCAGCTATTTTTTTTAGAGATGGGGGTCTCTCACTTGCTCAGGTTGGTCTCAAACCTGTGAGCTCAAGCAGTCCACCTTCCTCGGCCTCCCAGAGTTTTAGGATCACAGGCATGAGCCACCATGTCTGGCCTCTTTCTCATATTTTACTTTCAATCTGTAGGTATTTTTTTGTTGGATCTTCTTATTCAGTCTGATAATTTCTGACTTTTAATGTGTGTGTTTAGACCATTTACATTTAATGTAGTTACTGAAATGCTTCCATGTCAGCCATTTTGCTATTTTTTTAACGTTTCATGTCTTTTTTGTTTCTCTGTTCCTCCTTTGTTGAATTTTTTTTTTTTAAGACAGAGTCTTGGCTCAGCGCCTGTGGCTCAAGTGGCTAAGGCACCAGCCACATACACCTAAGGTGGGGGGTTCGAATCCAGCCCGGGCC